GAGAAGAGGAGGGGAGGGGATAGACAGACGGAGAGAGATGGGTAGGAGAAAGGAGAAAAATAGAAGAAAGTGAGAGCGATAGACATACACAGATAGATATAGAGATATAGATAGAAAGGGGGTGGGGAGAAGAAAGAACAAAAAGATATAGAGAAACAGAGCGTTGAAATCACGAGCTGCTCAATGTATTGTTACAGGAGTGTGTGTTTACACGATGGTTATAAGACAAAAACAGGCAGCTAGTTTTTAGAAACTATAATGACAACGATAACAACCAACATAGACAACCTGGTCATTACAATGACAGCAACAATCCAAATGAAATAGCAAAAACAATGATTACTACAAAGACAAAATTAAGAGCAGCAACAATAACAAGAAAAAAGCAACAATCTAACGACAACTTAGATGAAGGAGTAAGAGAAATAGAAATGGATGATGAAGAGATGCCTCAACAACGACAAGAGTAGCAGCAACAACAACGACGACAGCCATGATAATAACAGTAAACAACAAAGACAACACCAAAAAAAAAATCAACAACAGCTAACAAAAACGAACAACAGCACCTTAGACAAACTTTGATGTCTATTTGGATCAGGGAGGGGGGGGGGGCTTACCTTGATGGGCTGTGTGATGAAGACAGACATGAAGAAAGACACGAGCATGGAGGAGATCCACTTCTTACAGATATCGTCTTTGAAGCTGATGCCGTAGAAGGTAACCATGGCGGCAGCTCCCAGGGTAACGACCCAAAGGACGACCCAGGCAATGATAGTGAAGTACCATGGCAGCTCGAACTTCTGCAAGAATCAACGTGGGTTGTGCATGAAACCAACAGAAAAGATGCAGTGTCATTGTTACTAGAAAGTATATATGAAGTAAATACTCGAAGGAAAGATGTCGGGCAAAAAGGCTGAGGGTGGATAAAGAGCAGTGGACCGACAACATCAAGGCAAGGACTGGTCTAAGTTATTATTTGTGGCGTTGGTAGTTCAGCGGTAGGCTGCTGGGCCCGTTATCGAATCATTGAGGGTTTGGGGAATCAAGGCTCAGTTCGGTCCAATGTTACGTCCTTGTGAAAGGGACTTTACACGAATTCTCGTATTCTCTCACTTTAAAAAAGCATGCGATATTATATAATAACTTTGCAGTATTGCAAGGGGTGTTCAAACTATACATTTTCCAACATTATTCGTTATTGTTTTGATTTTCTCTGTCCTTAGAATTTAGTACTAAAAGAGATTGAAATCAGACTCCGGTCTTCAATGTGTGTTTGCAAAGAGCCTCACCTCTAGATCACAGATAGCAGTAATGAGCATCAGATATTTCACCATTTGGGAGAGGGTTCATTCATTATATTAATTAATTATTTACTTTTTTCAAAGCAACGTTCATTGTTTATATCAAAATCTACAGTGATAGATTTACAAAAATATGGAACGTGAGAGAGTAAAGGAAGTAAAGTAAAATAATGCAGTACATCATTGTGTGACTCGATTAAAGTATTCAGCTCTGCATTCTTAAGTAAGTTTATTCAGTGTTTAAGGCCATTGGCCCACATCACATCATATAAAACACTCATTTATTGTTCAATAAGGTTTCCATAAAGGTTGTGCACATATCTCTTATCACTGCATATTTCTGTCACTGGGCCGTGTCAGGCTGGCATGAATTAACTATTTCCGTGGATAGGCAAAATTTGGACAAGAGGGAAAAGTGCGCTATTTAACAACACTGCATTCGTCCACCATAGAAAAGAACTGATCAGAGAAGGAAAAAAGAAACGTATGAATAATACTCGTTGTGAGAACATGTTTAACGAATTCAACGCTGCATTCGTCCATTACAGAAGAAAAAAATGATCAAATTAGAGTCAGCCGTCTTGAGTCTTCACTTACCTTTTTCTTCTTTCCGACCAGCTCCTCTTTGCCTGTACTCATGGCCGAGCAGGGCCTGGACGAACTGGACGAGGCCGGTCTGTTTGGGTCACGTAGCATACTGGGAGATTTGGTCACGCTAAAGATACTGCCCACCTGTTGGGAAGTAGGAGGGTTCTTTTTTTAGTTTTGAACTTTGTAAGAATGTTACGGCACTTGCAACATAAATCGTTCATATAAGTGAAAGAGATTAAAGGTTTAACAAGAAAGGAAGGGGAGAAGGAAGTAGAACCAGAAAGTGACAATCTCCAAGCAATCGTCCAAGTCAGTTATGACCCGCTAATACTAAGCGTTAGTTTTAGCTACAAATTCAAGTCCTCGTTTATTCCTGTCAGTAATGTTTTCTTCCTACATCTGAGTCTACTGCGGTACGCTACATGACGGTGCTCGATTAAACGAAGCTTTGACACTTTCATAATCTTTTGGGTTTAAATTTTGAGTAAAGAGAAACATATTGACATAATAATCGTCATATAGTGCAGGCGTGTGCTCATACGACCTTATGCAGTTGTGAGAGCCTTAAACCTCTTAGCAAAACAAGCATGCAGTGCAGATAGGCAGAAAGAACAGGGGGAATTAAGGAAGTAGGACCTACCAATGGTGCCCTACAAAATCTGCAGCACCGTAGGTAGGCCCTCTGAATTCCTATGCCGTATGTTTGGTATCTCCTTTTGAATGATTCAAGTCCCAATCTTTTGACAGTTTCTTTGCTGGTTTGTTGATTACTACAACTTGACCATTAACACAACAAGCAACAACAACAACAAAAATATCTACAACAACAGCAAAAACATCATCAACAACAACAACAATAACAATGACGACGACGACGAAGACAACAAACACAACAAGAATAACAGCAACAAGAACAACAACATCAATAACAATAACAATAGTAACAACAACAACAACGAAAACAACAACGAAAAAAAAAACAATGACAAAAATGCTAGAACAACTACACTAACAACAACAGCAACAGCATCACCACCAGAGCCAACATCACCACCGTACCAATAACACCTAAAACCGCAACCACCACAACCACCACCACCAACACCACCACTACCACCACTATCAACACCCACCACAACAACCACCATTATTAGTGCTAACAACACAACCACCACCACCACCAACACCACCACTACCACCACTATCAACACCCACCACAACAACCACCATTATTAGTGCTAACAACACAACCACCACAACCACCACAACCACCACCAACACCACCACTACCACCACTATCAACACCCACCACAACAACCACCATTATTAGTGCTAACAACACAACCACCACCACCACCAACAACAACAAAAACAAGAACACCACCACACCCACCACCACCACCATCACCATCAACAACACCAACAAGCACACAAACCCACCTCCGGCTTGACATCGTTGACAGAAGCCATCTTGTTCTGCTGGTGCACCTCTTTGATGGCTCGGTCAATGCGGGACGGGCGCTTGTGGTGAGGGCGTGACTTACGGAACAGGAAGATGAGCAGGAAGTTCACGGGGAACACGATCAGGTTACTGATGATGCCGATGGAGATCTGGTACGTAAAAAGGTAGCATTCAAAGATGAGGATAGCGATGGAAATAATGATAATACTTTTTATTATTATAATCACAATAACAACAATAATGATAATAACAATAGTAGTATTAGTAGTAGTAGTAGTAGTAGTAGTAGTAGTAGTAGTAGTAGTAGTAGTAGTAGTAGTAGTAGTAGTAGTAGTAGTAGTAGTAG